ACCTGAAATACCGAAAGTTTACTGTGATATTGCAATTTCCGCGATGCCCAAAGAGTCAGTATTTTGGGGCGGGGGGGTGGGGAGGAGGAGGAGGAGGAGGAGGATGCGAAAGAGAGAGAGAGGGCGCGAAAAGAGAGAGAGGGGGAGCGAGGGGCGTGAGCGCTCTGTCAGTAAGTTTTATTTAAGGCAAAGTTGCGTTACTATTTAAGTGATTTATGCTGTAAATAAAGTATGAGAGTGATGTGTATTACTTTGGTGCGTTTTTACATTGAGTACTTGGACCCAGCACACTCCTTGTCCCATAGGTGCTTATTAACAAAAAGTTAGCTGTATTTTGTTTTGGGCAGTTCTGTGAAGTCTTCAGATGGAGATGGTTTTACAAAGTGTGCCCGAGATGGGGAGAAAATAGCAAAAATAATTTACCTTAGGATTAAGAGTTAGTAATAATCCCAAACCAGAAATATTGGGATAAAACCATAAAACGTTACCTGAAGCTGAATATGTTTATGCTCCAGGAGGAAGCTATGTTTCTCCAGTCTAGCTGTTAATGTCACCTTAAGCCATTCAAGATGTTGGGAAATAAATTCTCTAGTGTAAGTACTGTGCAAGGGATGGTGTTGTATGTTGGAATTTATAAAGGAACATTTTGGGATTAATGGGTTTACACTTTTGCTGTTTGTTTATAAATCTTTAATTTTGTTTGAGTGAGTAGCATGATTTATTTTTGTTAATTAACTTTTGATTTGTTTTTGCAAAATCAAAACTGCAATGTTGCTTGCGTATATTTCAGTGGATTGCCGAAACAAAACATGATCTATTAAGCCAGGTTTCAGTCAGGGATCTACCTGTAAGCAATAACACCACCTGAGATCCTAACTGGGGGCTCTTGGTAGGATACTTGAATCTACTGGATTCATGACAGATCTGTCTGCCTCTTTTATTAAAAGTATTAGCTGAGGAGTGGTTCTGAAATAAAGCAGCTGTACTGTCTGAAATTAGGCCACAGATCAGCCTTGATCTTACTGAATAGCAAAGCAGGTTCAAGGGGCTGAATGGCCTACTCCTGTTCTTATATTCCCTAAGTTTGTTGCATGGGATTTGAAGACGCCTTTGGATGTTTCTAAGAGCTTTTTGGAAGTGGAAGATATAACCGTAGATTATTTAAAATATTTGACAAAAACTAAACTGAAAGAGTTAGCAGTTAAATTGAAGGTAGATATAAAGCAGAAACTTAAGAGGAAGCGCTTCATGGGATTATATAAAATTTAGAAGTGGAAAAAAGGAAACCTGAAACTGGAATGTCACTAGAATCAGTTTTGATACAGTTAGAAATGAAAAAAAAGCTGGACTTAGAGAAAATGTGAAGACAGAGTAGAAAAAGAAAAAGGAGACGGAAATACATCCGGAAACAGAATTAAGAAAATTTGAACTCCAAAAGATGGAAAATTACACAAAATGAGTTTGCAAAAGTTTAGAACAGACGGAAGAAAAAGGTAGCAGCTCAAATGATGAATCTGATTTCAATGAGCAATTTGATTTAATCAAGAATTTACAGTTAATGCCTATTAAGTATGGACATGAAAGGTATTTTGCCTCATTCAAGGTAGCTGGGCAGATGAAGTGGCCGAGAGGTTTGAACCTTCCAAAACTAGTGTTTTGACAGGTGCAGCTATGACTGTGTATGCTAATTTGTCAGAAGAACAATCTGCAGTGTAGGAAACTGTCAAAGAGGTAATACCCTATGTTTGTGAGATGTACCTGAAGCTTATCAATTAAAATTTAGGACAAGAAAAACCCTAATCAGATGTTTATGGAATTTGCAAGGGAGAAAGAAATGCTGTGGGATCAGTGATTCAGATCACTGAAGTTATAGAAAATTAAGAAAGTAAGGGAAATGATGATCATGGACAAATTCAGAAATAGCAATCTTGTTAATTTAAAACCTTAAATGACGAGTACTTAAACATTAGTTGGAGGTATACATGGAAGTTACAAACCATGCCTGGTTTGACAGTGATTTGGCAAATGAAGCAGTGAAACAATTTCCTGTAGAGAGGATTGACTTTAGATTGGGAAATGATATGGCAGGTTTAAGAACATGACTTCACCAAAAGTGGTAGAACAACCAGTGGTAGTTAAATGTTACAAGAAGAATGTCCAGGACTGTTTCCTGACTCTGCTGTAACTAGACATCAGGCCCACAGAGTTTGGTAGAAAGAGGAGTTATGAAAAGGAGATGATTAGGAAATTCAGCTATTGGATACAATTTTTAGAAGTTACTAAAATAAAAAAAAATGAAGGTAAAAGAGAACGAAGCAAATGTGTTTAGTCCATCTTTAACAGATCTAATGATTTATGTTAAGAGAGAAGGACATATGGAATGGAATGGCTGGAAAACTTTCATAATACAACAGGCTATAAAAGGTGCATTCCTCATGAGTAGTAGGAATGATGTATGAATATTCAAACTCTGAGAACATGGGAGATGATCTTGACGATGAGTGACCATATAATTCACATACCCACGAAGGCTACAATTTGGATCCACAGGGGTAGGTCTCAGGAGCTCAGGAAAAATGTGCCTTCACATACTGACTGTGAAGAACATGAAAACGTAATCAAATGTGCTCACTAATATCTGTCCAAAGTAAGCTCACATGCAGTTTACTGGTCAGCTGAGTCAGATGGTTGGAGGGTGGGACATGCAGGCAAGTCATGTGAAAATATAAAAACGGGCTAAACTCCCAAAATGAGGGTCAAAAGGTGAGCGTCATGCAAGGGTTACATAAATAGAGAACTAGAAATTGTCGTTCCAGTACTGGTTCAAAGAAAAAGGTCATATATAGTGCATAGGATTTCTAGCAGACATCCTGAAAGTAGTCCGGAGAAATCACAACGAGAAGGCAGCACAGCTTTACAAGGCAACCAAGTAACACACATAATAGATAGCCTACTTGGACAATGTGTGAACGTACAGCGCACCATTATCAGGAAGCGCTTGTGGCTATTAGTAGAATGGAAGTTTAGCTTCATTTACTCTATCTAAAGCGTTACAAGAAAGAATTCAAAATATATTCAGAACGTGAAGATTGAGGTCAACCAGCTTTGTCTAACTGGTGAACCTGTACCAATAAAATGGTCGCAACGGACCCACAAGGCTAAAGCTAGATTTGTAGCTACAGGCTTTGAGAAATGTTTGTCACTTAAAAAACAAAAAGGGTAGGATAGATTCTCCTTTGTCTGAGAAAGTAATGTTGAAAACCTTTATAACCATTTTAACAACTTTTTATTGGAGTTGTTACTCTATTGATATCAAAGCTGGATTCCTTCAGAGTTGCCTGCTTGAGAAAGGTATTTTTATAGTGCCCAAAAGGAAGCACCAGCAATAAAGGGAGAGCTCTAGAAATTGCATGAACTCTTATGGATTAATAACACTTCCTGGCGCAATATTTTTCAGCAAGGGCATTTCTGTTAATGTTAGGGCATTCAAACTAAACAAAGACCTGGCAATGTTCTAGTGACATTATAATAGAAAACTTTCAAGCATCTTCACAAATTTTTTGTGGGGGGGGGGACACCAATGACTTTAAGGAGAAAAATCATAAATTGAATTAGGAAGGAATTAAAAATTGACAGTCAAGCTCTTGGAGCTTTTAAATATTTGGGTTTGGGAATTAAGCAGGGCAAGTCAAATGTAACTTTACACATTATATTTGGAAAATGTCAAAACCTATTGCAATTAGTCATACCAGATCTAGGTAAAAAAGATGATGCTCCAACCAAGAAGGAGATGGAATAGCTGTGGAGTCTCAGACAACTCAATTGGCTAGCTACGTGACCACACCAAATGCAAGCTTTGATGTATTGGAACGTAGTCTGGCTATGAAAAATCCAAAGACGGAGGACATAGAGGCAACAAGTAAAATAGAAAAACGTATGTTGAAGTTCTCAGCTTTGGGTGACACCAAAACTGATATTAATATTTTTGGAGATGCGTGCAATCCTAGCAGTGGATTTTCCAGTGCAGGACGATTTGCATTACTACTTTTGGGAGAAAAGAGAAAAGTAATTCCTTGGCATGGAACGCAAAGAAAACAGTGAATAAGAAAACACATTAGGCACTGAGATTCTGGCTCTCGACATTGTTGAAATGGTGTTTTGTATGCCTAAAATCCTGGGAAGAAATGTTACTGTAAAATGCTATATGTAAAAATGGACTGAAAGAACAATATCAATAGAATGATAAATGGATAATCAGTCTTTGTGGAATAATGTGCACTCTCCAAAAAGTGCTAGTGAAAAAAGTCTTAGGATAAAGACAGCCAGTTTGAAGCAAGCACCAGACAGGAAGGAAACATTTAAGCTTGGATAGGTAGATTGTTGTAAAACAGACCATTGGTCAATGACTAAGAGGAATGCCTCTAAACAAAAACTGTTGCAAGGTCTAGAAAAAGGAATGTCTCATTATATAACAGTGGGAATCTGAAATTGCATATTTTCCTATATACTTTGTGTGAACACAGTATTCCCTTAAAAGTTTACTGGGGCAGGTCCTTTGAAAGGCTCAAATGGAACAGCTCATCGTTGACTGACAAGAACTCAGCTTTTCCATACAATAGGGAGTCCAGAAGAAAATAAAAGGTGCAAATAGAAGTTTTGTGCTAAACCAATGACTTACAATAAAATCCTTGTAAATTTCTGAACGCCTCTTTCTGCCAATTTAACATATGAATATCAATATATGAAATATGTCAGACTCGAATTCACCTTATTTCCTTCTGTAGCATTAGCTGTTTTTTTTAAAACTGGGCAAGGATTTATGCAATAGAACACAGCATTCATGAGATCCCAGATGTTCTAGTAAATGGTGGTACAAATATAAAGCGATGTTAACAGCAAGCAAAGAAGTCTAATTAATGCCATTTGCCACCAAAACTGTAAACGCTGCTATTTCCAATGCCCCAGAAGCAGAATAAATAAAGCCTCATGAAGATACTCACTCATCTTCCTCCTGCTCCCGCTTGTGCTTTCTCCGGAAAAAAGACTCATTCCTCCTGTTTAAACCAGAAACAGGTGATCAGATGAAGAACAAGAAATCATGCAAAAAGAAAGAATTCTCTGCTATGATACCAGCCTATTCTGAGCATGGCTTACATAAATGTAATTATATTGAAGAGCTACTACCTGCTCAAAAAAACGATTTTCCTATAAACTTCTAACGTGATGTTGTAGAACTCTTTTAGACTCCAAAATGCCATTGGTAACTCAAGTCCTGAAGATCTTCAAAAAGAGTTTAGTTTTGGGATTCTGACATGACGCCTTCCGCCGAATGCATAAACACACTGGTGTAGATTTCAAGTACTGGTCAGACACATACCATTTTTAATTAGTAGGCAATGGTTATGGCACAGAATATCATATCTGCAGTTGTGTACTTTTATAACCCAAGAAGCACACTGTAAATAAAAATGGCATCTCCAAGTGCAGCAGACTGGGGCAAACCCAGTCACATAATGCCATCCCACTGACATCATAAACAGTGTCATGCACAGTCACTGATCCCAGTGACACAGCAAGGTTCAGTGACCACAGGTTGTAATGTATGTTATATTGGCTTCTGATACCATAATAGGAAATAGTCTCACTTGTACAAAATCGTACACTTGAAATTTAGTCTTCCATTTCAACAAAACCTCATTAATGGCCTGCTCCAACACAAGTCAAAGCAGTTCTAAATTTGAAAGCCACAAGTGATCAAAGATCTTCCTAAATAGAGGATATTCAACAAACATATATGAAAAAAAAGTAGATTTCCTAAATATCTCTGTCCAAAAGTAACCAATTTCCATCACTCACTTCAGGTATACAAGTCAATTTCAACCTTGGGAGACAGTGGAGGTAAAATGATCAGGATCTCACTAGGGATCTGATTGTTAAGACAACAAGCCTTGCTTTTGTATCTGCAATCTTTCCCAGTTGTATAACTTCTGTGAAAAGAATTCTTTTTGACTGTGACATTTTGCATTCTACATCTAGCTTCCTATTAGCAGAGCCAGACCTCTTCAATTGTTCTCTGAAACTCTTCCATAAATGGTTCTGCCCTTGCCTCCACATCTGAAATCTTTTTTAAAATTCCAATACTCCTTTGCAATAGTACTTTCTAGCTTGGTTCCTTACAGAAATATCTTCACATCAAGTTTCTTTACAATCAAACCGATTCTGGAAATGCAAGTAATTAGGCAGGAACAAGATTGGAGTTTGGTTCCTGCAGATAAATAGACTGTAAAAACTCAGTGAGAGTAGGAACTGCAGATGCTGGAGAATCTGAGATAACAAGGTGTAGAGCTGGATGAACACAGCAAGCCAAGCAGCATCAGAAGAGCAGGAAGGCTGACGTTTCGGGCCTGAAGGGTCTAGGCCCGAAAGGTCAGCCTTCTTGCTCGGCCTGCTGTGTTCATCCAGTTCTACACCTTGTTATCGCTGTAAAAAATCAGTGTCTGGATTAACAGGTGGGACAGTACCATTAAGTGCTTGTACTGGAGAACGTCTAGCCCTGTGAAACTGTCCTCCACTAATCATTGAAAAGCAGGGTGCACCCATAGTAAAACTAGTTCCTGGGCAAAGAAACGAGAGAAACAGCACAAGCTCTTGTTTCTCTTTCTTTTGTTTCCCCACAAAGTAACAATCAAGATACTGGACCAGCAACCCAAAAGCCGGGAAAAGTTGTAACACTGAATTCAATACAGCTAGTCACTTTGGGGTTCACACAGGCTTCTATGTGAAATCTGACAGACTAATTCTGAAACCAATAGCTCATGAACATTCTCCATTAAAGGGAATCTTGCTTATCCAGGTTCATTCAGGCCTAGGTTTGACTCTAGCCAGATTCTGGATGGTTGACTTTTAATGCCTTCTGAACTAAAAGGGATGGGCAATAAACACTGTCTTGCCAGTGTTGCCCAAATGACAACAACAAAAACCCAGCTGTTTTAGAAACCCTTATATGGTGTAGGATCAGGGAAGAATATATTAGCAAAATGATAAATATGCAACACAAGTCACAGTCATACAGCATGGAAACAGACCCTTCAGTCCAAACAATCCACGCTGAACATAATCCCAAACTAAACCAGTCCCACCTGCCTGCTCCTGGCCCACACCCCTCCAAACCTTTCCTATTCATGTACTTATCCAAATGTCTTCTAAAAAGTTGCAATTGGGCCCATATCCACCACTTCCTTAGTAAATGCTAAGAAAAGAATGTACATAACAGTCCTTGGTGAAAAGACAATGTATCTCATTGGTAGCCAGCCAAACATCAGAGATCTAGGCAGAAGAGGACTGGCAAGATTTTCAAATATCATCTTTTTTTTCCCCCCTCCTCAAATCAGGAGTATGTCGGTGGTGTTGTGATACAGTGGGTTGCATTCCTGCTGGAGCCTGAAGCTCCAGGTTAAAGTCACACTCCAGGATTTGTTTCTGAAACATGAACAAATAGGTCAAGCACCAACTTATGAATTCAAAATGCACCAATGCAGGTAGTTAGTCCAGGAAAAATACCTGACCAGCCATGTGATGAAAAGAAATTGGAGCCTCTTTCCATTGCTTGAGGCTATGGCATACATATAAAAATTTATATTACCACAAAAACTCATACTCTAGGGCAGTAAGGTCTGCAATGGCCATAGTGGCGCTTGTGGGGCTCAGAGCTGGACAGAGTCAAGCAAGGAACAAGAAGAAGAGGTGAAACCCAACTATTTTCCCTTCTAATGGCTAAAACAAGATACAAATCATTACTATTAAGAACTTTACATATGAAATTCCAATCACTGACACTGCAAGGTACACCAAACTGAACAGTAGCAATACATTATTAAACAGCCGGCTAGATAAATGTTTTGCATCTATCAAGTCTCAGGTAGCAAGAAAATGTACATCACACAACACCCACACAATTCCAAGGGATACCTGCTAGAACTACGTAAAATGATATGTCAGAGATAACATTTTATGCTAATTAATCTATAATTAGCAGGGTAGTTATCACCGGATTACTACCACTGCCACCTGATAACAAGGTAAGAAATAGGAAGAGTGCGCAGCTAAACACGTGGCTACAGGGCTGGTGTAGGAGGGAGGGCTTCCATTATATGGATAATTGGAGCACATTCTGCAGAAGGTGGGACCTGTACAGTAAGGACGGGTTGCACCTGAACCAGAAGGGCACAAATATCACGGGACGGAGGTTTGCTTGAGCTACATGGGATGGTTTAAACTAGATTGGCATGGGGTGGGGAACCAGATTTGTAATTCAGAGGATGAGGTATTCAGCCTTCCAACAGACACAACAGGGAGTGAGGTTGTTAATAAAGAAATGCGGTCGATGGAGCATAATTGTGGACACAGGGACGGTTTGAAGCGTGTATACTTCAATGCAAGAAGTAACAGAAATAAGGTGGATGAACTTACAGCATGGGTCAGTACTTGGAACTACAATGTTGTGGCCATTACAGAAACTTGGGTAACTCAGGGACAGGAATGGTTGTTGGAAGTTCCGGGATTTAGATGTTTTAAAAGAAATAGGGAGGGTGGTAAAAGAGGCGGGGGAGTGGCATTGCTAGTCAGGTCTAGCATAGCAGCTACTAAAAGGCAGTTCGAGAATGATATGTCTACAGAGTCAGTTTGGGTTGGAGGTCAGGAACAAGAAAGAAGCAGTCACTTTGTTAGGGGTTTTGTACAGACCCCCTAATAGTTGCAGAGAAGTGGAGGAGTGGATTGGGAGGCAGATACTGGAAAGGTGCAGAAGTCACAGGGTTGTAGTCATGGGTGACTTCATCTTTCCATATATTGATTAGAAACTTTTTAGTTGTAATAGTTTAGATGGAGCGGATTTTGTTCAGTGCGTTCAGGAAGGATTCCTGACACAGTATGTAGATAGACCAACACGAGGAGAAGCCACTTTGGATATGGTGCTTGGCAATGAACTGGGCCAATTGTTAGACATGTTGGTAGGAGAGCATTTTGGCATTAGCGATCATAACTCTGTTACTTTTACAATAGTCATGGAAAAGGATAGGTACATATAGCAGGGTAAAGTTTATAATTGGGGGAAGGGTAACTATAATTCTGTTAGGCAAGAACTGAGTAACATAAAATGGGAACAGATGCTGTCAGGGAAGAGCACTATTGAAATGTGGAGATTGTTTAAGGAATGCATACTGTGGGTGCTCGGTGTGTTTGTCCCTAGCAGGCAAGGAAGATGCTGTTGAGTGAGGGAGCCTTGGTTCTCAAGAGAGGTCGAATGACTGGTTAAGAGGAAGAAGGATGCTTATATAAGGTTTAGGAAACAAGGATCGGAAAAGGCTCCAGAGGCATACAAGTTAGCCAGGAAGGAGCTGAAGAAAGGGCTTAGTAGGGCTATAAGAAGGCATGAGAAAACCTCGGCAGATAGGATCAAGGAAAATGCCAAGGCTTTTTACACATACGTGAGGAATAAGAGAATGACCAGAGAAAGGGCATGGCCGATCAAGGATTGTAAAGGGAATTTGTGCACGGAGCCTAAAGAGATAGGAAGGTCCTTAATGAATACTTTTCTTCAGTATTCACAACTGACAGGGACCTAGTTGTAGTGGAGGACAGTGTGAAACAGGCTGGTAGGCTAGAGGAGGTGGATGTTAGTAAGGAAGGTGTACTAGGAGTGTTGAGGAACTTGAAGATAGATAAGTCCCCCAGACCTGATGGAATTTATCCAAGGATTCTATGGAAGGGAGGGAAGAGATCGCAGGACCTTTGGCGATGATCTTTTCGTCCTCACTGTCCACATGCATAGTGTCGGAAAATTGGAGAGGGGAAAACGTCATTCCCTCGTTCAAAAAAGGGAATAGGGATAACCCTGGAAATTACAGGCCAGTTAGTCTTACTTCAGTGGTGGGCAAATTATTGGAAAGGGCTCCGAGAGATAGGATTTATGATCACTTGGATAGGCACAGTTTGATTCATGACAGTCAGCATGGATTTGTGAGGGGTAGAAGTCATGGCTCACAAACCTTACTGAATTCTTTGAAGAGGTGACCAAACACGTGGATGAAGGTAGAGCAGTGAATGTGGTATACGTGGATTTAAGTAAGGCGTTTGATAAGGTTCCCCATGGTAGGCTCATGTAGAAAGTAAGGAGGCATGGGATAGGGAGAAATGTGGCAGATTGGATTCAGAATTGGCTGACCCTTAGAAGACAAAGGGTGGTAGTGGACGGAAAATATTCAACATGGTGCTCAGTTACGGTGGTGTACCACAAGGATCAGTTCTGGGTCCTCTTCTATTTGTGATTTTTGTAAATGATTTGGATGTAGGAGTGGAAGGGTGGATTAATAAGTTTGCGGACGATACGAAGGTGGGTCGAGTTGTGGATGGTGCGGAGGGCTGTTCTAGGTTACAAAGGGACATTGGTAGGATGCAGAGCTGGGCTGAGAAGTGGCAGATGGAGTTTAACCCTGAAAAGTGTGAGGTGATTCATTTTGGAAGGACAAACTTGAAAGCAGAATACAGGGCTAACGGAAAGATTCTTGGCAGTGTGGAGGAGGAGAGGGATGTTGGGGTTCATGTCCACAGTTCCCTGAAAGCTGCCACCCAGATGGATAGAATTGTTAAGGCGGCGTATGGTGTGTCAGCTTTCATTAATAGAGGGATTGAGTTCAAGGGCCGTGAAGTTTTGCTCCAGCTATACAAAAGCCTGGTTCGGCCACATCTGGAGTATTGTGTCCTGTTCTGGTCGCCTCATTACAGGAAAGATGTGGAAGCGTTGGAAAAAGGTGCAGAGGAGATTTACTAGGATGTTGCCTGGAATGGAGGGAAGGTCTTACGAGGAAAGGGTGACAGAGCTAGGGCTTTTCGCTTTAGAATGACGATGGATGAGAAGTGACTTGATAGAGGTGTACGAAATGATCAGAGGTACAGGTAGAAGTCAGAGACTTTTCCCTAGGGTGGAGGTAGCTATTACGAGGGGGCATAGTTTTAAAGTTAGTGGAGGTAGATACAGGGGAGATGTCAGAGGTAGGTTCTTTACTCAGTGCGGTAGGGGCATGGAATGCATTGCCGGAGAGGGTAGCGGAGTCAGCCTCATTAGGGGCATTTAAGCGGCTATTAGATAGGCAAATGGATGATAGTATAAGGTAGGGGTGGAGGCTAGATAGACCTTAGGTTTAGGGTAAAAGTTCGGCACAACATCTTGGGCCGAAGGGCCTGTACTGTGCTGTACTGTTCTAATGTTCTATATTCTAATTTCAGTTTATATAATACTCAGGTTATACAACACCAGAACTCTGCATTTCAGAAAACAAGTACTACTGTAGGTATTCCCTGGTAGACAGACGTAACAACAGCAAAGATGCAGGTCATTGAGCCCGACAAATCTGTTCCAGTGATTATGCTCTACTTCCATTCTTCTATACCTCATCAATATATCTTTCTACTCCTCACCCTCCCTGCACACTTTTTTTTGCTTTCCCTTAAAACGCATCTGTGTTAATAGGCCTCAAGTACACTCTACGGTACTGACTTCAGGTTCAGTACTGTCTGATAAAGGTGTTGCTCCTGGGCTCCCTACTGAATTTACTATTGAAACCTTGCATTTATGGCTCATCCAAGAGTGGAAACAATTTCCTCACACTTATGTGTAACCACTTCATTAACTTAAGAGCCTCCATCAGGTAACGCTTCAGCCAATTAAAAGCAAAGTACTGCAGACGTTGAAGCTACCAAATAAAAGCAAAGTGCTGGAGAAGCTTAACAGGTCTGGTCACATAGGTGGAGAGAACAAAATTGAGCTAACATTTTGAACCCAATTATATCACCCTGGAAATATTAAGTATGTTTTTCTATCCACAGATGCTGTCAGACCTGCTTAGTTTCTCCAGTACACTTTTATTTAAAAAAAAATTTCAACCTCTCAGCTATTCCTTTTCTAGAAAGAAGAATATTAGCCTGTTCCATCTTTCTTAGGTAACTTCTCATTCCAGTCACATGTTAATAAGTCTTTTTCCCTCCTTCCCAGTGGCTGTATGAAAGCTGCTCTTTGTTATTAATAAAATCTTAATTTTACCTCACTTGCTCTTGGGTGTATATTTTTTCAATAATAAAGTAATACAGGAGAATTGTCATTAATGAACCACAAGGGAAGTGCGTAATTGACATGACAAAAAAAACAATTAAAACAGCACATTTAATGCAATTACAAAATTCCAAGGAGTCTGAGTATTATAACACATGACACTGAACTACACAACAAAATGTTAGGTCAGATAATAAAGAAGGATGATAAAAGGTTTTAAAAGAAGAGAAGGGAGGAAGTAAAGTTTAGGGGCAGAATTCCACAGCTTAGGGCCAAGGCAACTGAAGGCATGGCCTCTAGAGGTGCAGCAATTCAAATTGGGTACAGAAAAACAGAATTAGTTGAGTGTTAAGAGCTTTGAGGATCTTAGAGACAGGAAATGGCATGGCCTTTGAGAAATTTAAAACACAACAATAAGAATTACAAAATCAAAATGCTGCTTTACTAATAGGGAAGACAGTGAAATAGTAGCAATGCCACTGGAACAGTAATCCAGAGGCCCAGGTAAATGCTCTAGAAATGTGTTCAAATCAAATTTAAAATTCAATGTAGAATATCAGGTCAACCTCAGTAATAACGACATGATAACTATAAAATGATTGATGCAAAAAAATCCACCTGGTTCACAAACGTCCCTTAAAGGAAGGAATCTGTCCTTACCCTTCTGACCTATGTGCGAATTCAATCCATATCATGCGGGTGACTCTTGATGGTTTTTTTTTAAAATGGCCTTGCAAGCCACTCAGTTCAAGAAAAATTAGGGATGGGCTTGTCAGTGACACGGACATCCCATGAAAGAATATAGAAGAGCCAATCTGGCAGGCACAAGGGTGATGGAAGAATGGGAAACAGCAAAGTTATGGCATAAGTTGAGAAAGCATGGAATGTAGGAAACCAGCCTTGATCGTGTTGAAATAATAAAGTCTAGAAGTAACATAGGCATGAACAATCATTTATAAGGCAAGTTACAACATGAGGGCACAGCCCCACCTTTTCAGACAAGATCACAACAGGAGGGTCAAAGATTGAAGACCTTTCCATTTCAAAATACTTTTGCTCTGATGTCCAAGTACAGGAAGTTCTTCAACAAACATGACCAGTCAAGTGTAAAAAAGGCAATAAAATTCTATGTCCATTCCATATTGCACACCCCCCTCCCCTTACATTGAGCTAACATGTTAAAACATCTAATTAGAGCAATGTGTTGTTATATCACAGCATTGGGTATCAGCTTCAACCGCAATTTGGAAAGAGACATCAAAACTCATCGAGCTTCTTTAGTCATGCAAAATAACTGTCCTTCCTCAGGAACTAGCTATGGCACAGAAGACACCCAAATCTTCTCCCATAACTTCAACAATGGGTAGAATCGGATTCATCTTGCTAATGATAGTAATAGAGATTTTTAATACTCACAAAGGAGGATTCTTCAATTCAGCGTTTGTTGTAGTTGTTCTCACTGCACTTAACACTGGATTGTTTTCTGGAGACTCCACACTGGTGTCCATGCTTTCACTTATTCCATCTCCTTGCTTACAGCCTTTTCCTTCCAGATGTGTAGTGGAAGTGTGTGCTGGTACAAAACAGTCTGTTTGCCAGCATAATGGATTCTGGATACGTGCTGCAGCACATGATGCATTCCTCCCATATACTTCCAGTGTGGGGGACTGAAACAGCTGCCTGCCAGAAGGTGTCAATGAGCTGTAACAGAGGCTGTGTGCCATCACCATAGCAGACAATGCAACGGAGCTCAGTTATTTAAAAAGTCAGTCCCTGTAAGAGGAGAACCAAATGTTAGCGAGTCAGAAGAATAACTGCAATGAGGGAAAATTTTTTTACTGACTAGTCTCAAACAAAGCAAATTAAAACATTAACTAGATGGTAATGATGGTGAAAAACACCTTGCTGATTTAATGGATCAAGATCCATATAGCGTAACTAATAAATTAGGGCTATTCATTACATTTTCCCCATGTCTTTAAAGAAGTTTTTTTGCTACATTAAGAGGCTCACTGATCTAGACTTTTGGTTTGCAACTTGAACACATTTCTGCTATAAATGTGGGGTAATTACACTACCAATTCATCTTATGAAATTATTAGCTTATTGTTATGTATATTATACTTTACATTCTATCACCAGCCTTGTAAACAAGCAATTTCTGCTGTATTATTTAATAAAGAAAGAATGCCTGTATGTTTGGCAGCCACTGGTTTCCTAAATATACCCCACCATAACAGACTAGAATTGAACCCAGGTTCAAATCCCACCATGGCAGATGGTGGAATGAGAATTCAAAAAAAAATCTGGAATTAAGAGTCTGATATGACCATGAAACCACAGCTGATTGACATCTGGTTCAAACCAACATATTTTAGGGAAGGAAACTGCAACCCTTACCCGGTCTGTAACTCTAGACCCACAGCAATGTGGTTGACTCTCATCTGCGTTCTAAGCAATTAGGGATGGTCAATAAATGCTAGTCTAGCCAGCAACACCCTCAACCCATCAGTGAATTTTTTTTAAAAATCAAGGCTTGTCAGAATTGAAATTAGGGGAAGATAGTCACATGGTGGCAATGTCATTGGACTGGTAATCCAGAACTCCAGGCTAATGTTCTGCAGACATGGGTTCAAATCCCAAAACAGGTGACAACCAAATTTCAATTTAATGAAAGTAAAATAAGAGTAAAATCTATCCTAATGGCAACCACCGTCAATAGCTAAAAAATCTCCCATTCTTACCTGACATGGTTGATTCTTAATGGGCACTCTGGGCAATAAATTCTGGCCTAGCCAGCAACCAATAATAAAAAACAAATTTGCTCCTCCACTGATGACAGTTGAGGCCAGATCAATGCATTTTAACGAGACCGATTGTTATCTAAAAGCAGTAAGGATTGTGGAAAATCAGATTTGTAAAACTGCTACAATTTGGTCAAGTGGCAGAACATAGCAGTCTCTGTTCCCAATCCGAGATAAATCAGTGAGTCCAAGTACTTTTTGGGATTCAAAAGACTTTCACAAAAACAAAAAGCATTCAGTACAAGCTGTGAAGTCTCGACATCCAGCATGCAGGTCTCAATTGGCTGGTCAATCAGAATCTCTAACAATTATCTCACCACCTGTCCGCATCCTTCTACGTACATGTTGATCATCGTATTGCTGCATGACTTCTGCTCCCAAAAGCCATGCAGCTACAGAAAGGTACTGGCTTTGCCAGCTTATTGCATTATGTTCTGGTTTTGCAAGGTAAAGTAAGTTTGTCGTGGGATGCAAAACAAATGAATAAGAAATATACTAGGACGTGATGTGTGATATTGCAGTAACAGAAATATAGGGCTGAAGAGGCTCCATCACGTCTATGCAGACTCTCTGCTACTCACTACTCCCATTCCTCTGCCCAATCTCTATAGACCTACAGTCTTTTTCCTTTAAATACTTATTTAATAGGTCCATGCAGGAAAAAGAAAAAGTTTGAAGAATGCAGCTGCACTTCATATTCAATGTCCGAGCCACACAAGCTGACCAGGGTCCCCAAAAACAAATTGCAACCAGAGAAGTGCGTGTACACTTGAAAGCAGTAGTAAAATTCCGGATGTTCCAGAGGTGTGGATCCAGAAGCCTACCTGCAGCACGGCCAGCAGAGTGCCATCAAGGATAGGAAGAACCTTGGGTAACTAAGGAAATATATTTAAGACACAGTTGAAATAAAGGAAATTAAAAGCTCAGGCTTACAAAGTCACCAAGAGTAGTGGGAAACAGGAAGATTGGGAAAACTTGGGGAAAAAAAACCATGAGGCAAGCAATAAAGAAAGACAGATTATGAATGCAAACTAGCAGGGAATATAAAAACAGATATGAAAAATTTTTATAAATACATAAAATGGAAAAGTGTTGCTAAAGTGGGCATAGGTCCTTTGGATGATGAGAAGGGGGAATTAATATTGGGTAATGCTGAAATGGCCAAGGCCTTGAATGACTATTTTGGGTCAATCTTCACAACGGAAGATGTGTCTAACATGCCAAAGAATGATGTTAAGGATACAATGGGAAGTGAGGATCTCAATTCAATTGTTATCATTAAACAGGTAGTGCTGTGCAAACTAGAGGGTCTAAAGGTAGATAAGTCTCTTGGTCCCAATGGAATGCATCCCAGGGTGCCGAAAGTAATGGCGGAAGTTATAGTAGATGCATTAGTGGTAATTTACCAAAATTTGCTGGACTCTGGGCAGGTCCCAGCGGACTGGAAGACAGCAAATGTCACGCTGCTGTTTAAAAAAGGACGTAGGCAAAAGGCAGGTAACTACAGGCCAGTTAGCTTAATGTCCGTAGTCGGCAAAATGCTTAAGGCTATCATTAAGGAAGAAATAGCCAGACATCCGGATGGAAAGATTTCCATCAGGCAGATACAGCACGGTTTCAGGAAGGGAAGGTCGTGTTTGACAAACTTACTGGAGATCTTTAAGGGCATAACAATCATGGTGGATAGAGAACAGGTGCATGTTGTGTACTTGGTTTCCAGAAGGTGTTCGATAAGGTGCCGCATAAAAAACTCATCCATAAGATGAGAATGCATAGAGTTGTGGGGAATGTAATAGCATAGATAGAGGGCTGGTTAACCAATAGAAGGCAGAGAGGTGGAATAAATGGGTGTTTCTCTGTTTGGAGATCAGTGGTGAGCGGAGTACTGCAGGGGTCAGTGTTGGGCCCACAACTATTCATGATATATATAAATGGTTTGGAAGAGGAGGCTGAGTGTAATGTATCTATGTTTGCTGATGACACTAAAGTGAATGGAAAGGTAAATGGTACAGAGGACGTGGGGAGTCTGCAGAGAGATTTAGATAGGTTAAGTATTTGGGCAAGGGTCTGGCAGAAGGAATACAATGTTGGTAAATATGAGGTCATCCACTTTGGAAGTAAATATAGAAGATCAGATTATTATTTAATTGGTGAAAGATTGCAGCATGCTGTTGCGCAAAGACACTTAGGAGTGCTTGTACATGAATCGCCAGAAGTTGGTTTACAGGTATAACAGGTAATCAGGAAGGCAAACGGAATGCTGGCTTTCATTGCTAGAGGGATTGAATTTAAGAGCAGGGAGGTTCTGCTGCAATTGTACAAGGTGCAGGTGAGGTGGCACCTGGAATATAGTGCGCAGTTCTGGTCTCTGTACTCGAGGAAGGATATACTAGTTTTGGAAATGGTGCAGAGGAGGTTCACCAGTCCGATTCCGGAGATAAGGAGGTTACCCTATGAGAACAGGTTCAGCTGCCTGGGACTGTACTCGCTAGAATTTAGAAGAATGAGAGGGGATCTAATAGAAACATAAAATTATGAAAGGGATAACTAAGATAGAGGCAGGCAAGTTGTTTCCACTGGTGGGAGACCAGAACTAGGTGACATAGCGTCAAGATTAGGGGGAGTAGATTTAGGACAGGGATGAGGAGGAACTGCTTTTCCCAGAGAGTGGTGAATCTATAGAATTCTCTGCCCAAGGAAGCAGTAGAGGCAGCTTCATTAAATATATTTAAGGCACAGATGGATGGAATTTTGCATGGTAGGGGGTTTAAGGATTATGGGGATAATGCAGGTGGGAGGAGCCCAGACCATGGATAGATCAGCCATGATCTTAATGAATGGCAAACCGGCCTCAACAGGCCAAATGGCCTACTCCTGTTTCTATCTCTTCTGAACTTATGAACTGCAAAGGGAAGTAACAATGAGTGACAAACCTGGACCATCTAAAAAGAAAACAAAAATGAACAATTTCCATGCAGAATGGGAAAAAAATTTCTGTTCACAAGTGTAAAAGATAAGAGTGTTTGCATTATATGCCAGTAAAGTATATTGATAAGTAGAAGGGTGAATTTGGAATGACACCATACAACAATGCAAGGTAGTATACTGTTCAAGGGAAATCTTCGGACAAAGAAAGTTGACAGGCTGAGCAGAGTTTTGGAAGCTCAAGTCTTTTTATTTCAAAACCAGCATTAGAAGGTAAAGCATCATTGCATGCTTGCCATCTGTGCAAAAACAAGAAATCAGTCAGTCAAAGAAGTAATCAAAGCAGTATGGCTATGGCTGCTGACTCTTTATACAATGCTTTTAAAAAAAAGCACAGAAGAAATAATTGCAATCCAAAACATGTCACTACTGCTTCCACACTAGCAAGGAGAGTAGAATATTTGTCCGAAGAAATCTTACAGCCTCTACAGCAGGACCTGGAGTACTGTGAATGCTTCTTGCAGCCTTTTGATGAATCCGATTAAATGACCAACCCAGCACAGTTTTTAAAGGAGATAACAACTGAAGACACCATCTTACCCTTTTGCCCCTCAGAGAAACAGCACAAGCGGTTAGGATGTCTACAGCAAATTCAAAACATACATGCTTCAGAAAATCAAAATCAAGAAACTGGTTTCCATCACTCATGATGTGCACCAGCCTTGCAGGCCTTTGTTAATTAATGCAAAATTATCCCAATTTCCCCTCTTTTGTCAATTACCACTGTATAATCCACCAGCAAGCAATTGTGAACAAAACTGTGGACTTTTCTCATATTAAAAAGTTAAGATCGTAAACACAATTTGAGCAAGAGCCATTCATCACCTTATTTAAATCCTAACTTGACTAACTTAATTCTGCCTACAGCGAACTAAACCACCTCATTTTAGTGACAGATAAATGGAAGGAAGGTCCTGAAGAGACTTTTCTTTTTTGTCTTTCTCCCACCAGACTTCCACTTCCTGTGGGGCATGACTGACTTCCTCACAACAATTCCTCTCTCTCAGTCTAGGGGCTAAGATCTGAAGTCTGAAACTGAAACTTATTAAATTAAAGAAGACTGCAAAAAGTTTTCAAACAATAGGTGGTTGCGCAACTTCAAGTTATTTTACAAACATAACATCAAAACTGTGCACGAGCAGAACTGCAAACTGCATTGAAAGAATAGAGACTTAGCACATATGGTCAGTGTTGCAAGTGCATTCAAATTAAAACTGGGTCTGTGGTTTTCCTAATTTAAAAATAAAATGACAACACTTCCTAAGTCCGGAGAAAATACTGGAAATAAAATCCAGGCAAAGAAAAATGGCTTCACTCAGAAATAATCTATGCACACCTGAAGAAGTTAGCAGAGGAGCTCAAAACAGGCGATTTCTGGATTTAAATGTAATGGAACTTATCATCATGTTAGTCTCAGGTCCATACTTCAAGCAGACAGTGATGGTTTTGCTGCAAAATTCCTTAATGTGTTTGATTTACAAAGCAATGGAGTTACATGGAGTTAATTATAACGCAAAATGATAATGAATCAAGAGTCAGATCAAGGGCTGAGACTTATGGAGGCTCAGAAAAATATCTATTTCCATCCCTTGTTTTTAAAAAAGCCGACTTTGTTGTTTCACAGAAGTGTGTGGAGGTATTCCCCGAAATGAAGATAATCAGGTACAAGTGTCACACCTACACTGCAGATATCCACTTCACACACAATATATAACTAGCATCCTTAAATTATAATCCAGATTTCAAAGCACTGGTAGATAATGTGCAGTCACAAGTGCCATACCAAGACTTGGTGAGAAGATGACAAATTGAACAATTATTATACTTAGTTTTAGATTTAGGGAGCACTAAAAATAACTTTTTTTAAAAAAGCGGTAGATCCTGGGTTACACTTAAATTCAAAGGTGTGCTCAAAAAGGTTGGGGACCACTACCTAGAATGAGACTAAAAGTTATCAAGGACTGTGGACAAAGAGATCAGCCATGACCTTATTATATGGCAGAGTATGTTTGATGGACCGAATGACCTTTCCCAGCTCCTAATTCGATTGAGGTCATAGAGATCTGTGGCACCAAAAAGACCCTTCAGTCCAACCAATCCATGCTGACCATAACTCCAAAACTAAACTAGTCCCATATCCCTCCAAACATTTCTTATTCATGAACTTACCCAAATGTCTTTTAAATGTTGTAACTGTATCTTCATCCACCACTTTCTCTGGAAGTCCATCCCACACACAAACCATTATGTCCTTTCTCCTCTCACTTTAAAAATATGGCCACTAGTCTTGAAATTCCTCACCCTACGGAAAAGACACCTTATCTATACCCCTCATGATTTTATAAAACCTCTGCATGGCCACCCCTCAACCTCCGACGTTTCAGTGAAAACAATCCTAGCCAATCCTTAAAACTGAAACCCTGATGTTTGTGTATGACTGGACTAGATGGTGCAGAAAAACATCGGAGCATACTCAATAGGTTTATTAATCTGGCTTAAGTCCTGTAACATGGAACTTCCAGTCATTTGAGATCTGTTCTTCATAGCGAAACATTAAAAATGTTAGCATTAAACATTTAAAACATTACAAGTATCTGCAGAACACAAGGGTTCCCACCCTTGGTCCAAAAGGCCGGTGTTCAAGTCCCACCTGCTCCAGGGGGGTTATAACTTTTTTTAAAAAAAACAGGTTGATTAGATGTTTTTAAAAATGCGGAACATAACAAACTTTATGTTCTGAAAGACGAGGCTACATTATGCGCATGAATTTCAACACAATTTACCCTACATAAGCACGACTAATCTATAACATGGTCCTCCCTGGATCAAAGCGTCAAGAAAACGGTTTAAAGATCGTCAAATGGGATTTAATTTAAAAATTTGCTGTACCTACGGCATCAGACAGGCTTTTAAACTACTTTTAAAAATGGGCGTATTCGCACTGTGGACGCCGCCTGGCGTTTGAACTTTGTCCTGTTCCGGAAACTTCTAGACGTTTCTCACCTTTACGATGTCACAGCAGATGCAACAGCATCTAATTCTGTTAGACACTACACACACAAAAAACAAAACACTGCAGCTGCTGAAATCCAAGGTGGTCAAACCGGAGGCTAGAAGAACGCAGCAGGCCAAGGCAGCATCTGGAGGAAAGGAGCAGTCAACGTTTCGGCTATTACCCTTCTGGTGTTCTGACTGGAGGACATTGCAACAAACCATCCCGGTTTGCATAAACAGAAAATTACAGCTTCAGCTGCTATATCAAGTGGCAGTGTGCCAAAATACTTCTGGCACAAAATCCCGGCCTCTCATATCGCTGGGAGTAAATTAGGCTTTGCATAGGTGCGCCAGAAAATGACCGAGGGCAGATTTCTCAGAAATGCACCGATAACGGATGAAAATTCGCAGCAGTCGATGCGTGAGGCGCATAGAACAAAATGTTACAGATCGTTGTTAGTCCACGTTAATTATGCGCGTTTGCTGCATTGCTGATAATGGACCGACTGCTCGCACATATGTGCATACTGTACCTACGCACCGTAGGCCATGTCAGAGGACAAGGTGGACAACTGAGGAAAAGCGATGGAGCTGCAGGAGGACGGCGGCGAGCGCGGGCAGCAACGACCCCGGCTCCCGCGCGAGCAGCTCCTACTCCCTGAAGCTGGCGCGAGGGCTTAACGGTCAACTAGGCGAGCCCGACACACCCTCTTACCACCACGCAATCGCTTCGCCGGGATCTCCCCCCCCTCCAAATCAGTTTTCAGATCCTCCTCACTCCCTCGCTCACTTTGTTTACCTACCTAGACATGTAAAGTCCCGTCACGTTCCTTTGCGTGCTCGATTTCTCTCACCGTTTTCGCCTTATCGTCGACGTCATGACGTCACCGCCGGAATGAACACAGACGCTGCCCACGACCGGACGCCGCACGCATGCGCAAGAGCAAACCAGCAGGCCTCTTAAATTGCCGTCTTTGTTTGGGACAGAAAGGCCAACATCGGGGCATGACGGCGTTACAGGTAACAGGTATCACAGTTATATCATTGATGGCATTGACAATGGCCGCTGGTCTGGGTTTTGACCATCTGCCTTATTTTGTGTGCAATGAGCTTTAAAATTAAGTTTTATATTTAAAAAAATGAAAAACTTAGGAGCCCCAACAGCTCAGTGTATGGAGGGAGAAACGTTCTTTTCTTCAAAAGTCAGTCAATCTGATGAAATACCTGCTTTATTTTAAACCAGTGCAAATTTATTGAAACCCGTTTTTAAAATTTAAGCCACTTAGTGAACGCTAGTTTTATTAATTAAGTCTTTGTTTTATTTTAAAACCAAGAAAAGTGAAAATTAGTGTTCTGTTTAAATATCAAAAAGCTAAGCATGCAACGAAGTTCACTAATGGCAGTCCACAATTATTTAATTTACCACCACAACTTTTATGGGCTGCAGGGTAGTAAGGTGCACCAAAAATTCTGTTGTGTGGTTTCATTAAGGTTCCTTTAATGGGCCTGGTTTTTCCGTTTACCAAAATTACTTATGTCAGTAAATCCAAAGCAGGTAATTTTGGAAAACATTCATCTTGAGCTGAATAGTAAAGGCTTTCATTTATATAATGCATTTCACTGCATAAATTCAATGTTTCTACGACAGCACCTTCTAAATCCATGGCAGTATCATCTAGAAGGACAAGGGCAGGCAGTGCATGAAAACACCACCACTTACAAATTCTCCTCCAAGCCACTCACTATCTTAAATTGGAAATATAATCACTATTCCTTCCCCATCACAATCAAAATCCTGGAAATGCCTACCTAAAAGCATTATAGGGGTACCTACACTAAATGGACTCCAGCAGTTCAAACAGGCAGATTAGCACCATCATTGCCTTTTCAAGGACAGCTGGTGAAGGGCAACAATGTTTGTTCAGCCAATAATGGCCACACCCTAGGAATGGGATATCCTGATTTCTTTCTTTCCAAAGTGCTTTTGAACCAGTTATGTGCAGTAACCTATTCTAATGAGGGAAATCCAGGCTATGCTCTAGGCACTTTGTCAGAAGGATGACTCTGGTGTTTGCCTTCCTAATACACCATTCCAGAGTTTTGTGGCCCTCCCAGTTCTGGCTTTGATATTACCAAAGGAGAATCAGCCTGACTACCTTTTGGATACACACTGAAGACTGAACAAGGCTGGAGTAGAATTCCTTTTGGCCACATCCATTGCTTCTAAAGTTGGGGCATACACATTGACTGATGCTTCTGGGTTAGGGTGACCCAAGATGATTGAGGCACTTCCTTAGTTCAAAGGAGACTGGCTGAGAGAACCCTGTGGAGTCTCTTTCCTTTCTCAGATTTACTTTTCCAGAAAAAGGTGCATCTGCCATCTTGTTCTTTGAGCTGACATGCACCTGTCCACCGTACCTCACGCAGGATAGTGATGTCAATGTTATTGCACTAGGGTTCCAAGGCTACGATAGCAGTCAGCATTTCAGACCAGTCACTGCTTACATTGTCTATTGGACCTGGAACATCTGGACCCTGAAAATTTCATTTTGAAGGAGTAGATGTGTGTGCATGGATTCTTTTAATGTGAGATGGCCATTGCACACCAAATAACATACAATACTAGTGAAGCAATATCTTTGACCAATAGCAGAGGTAGACAGCAGGCATCAGTGTGGAGGACAGGGACTAACACACGTTGTTAAACTTACCTATCTCCTCACTTCCCCATTCCTATCAGCCTACAGTCCTGCTTATGTTTGGGTTGGTGTTGAAGCAAAGAGGATATTCCATATCAGTCAACCCCAGTAAAAATCAGCATAGACACGGTGATGCCAAAACAGACGCTTGATCTGTGATGGCCCTACTCTTAATTCTTGTCATGATGATCTAGAACCTGGTCTCCCCTGCCCTGCTGCTTTAACTGAATGGCTCCAATTTTCTACTTCCTGCTCCAGATTCAAACTGCTCACACCTTACCTTGCTGCTTTAACAGGCCAGCTCAGACTTTCTTTGCTACTCCCGACTTGTGGTCCTGTCTTTGTCTCTCTCAATAAACAACATCGCACAACCTTTCCTCTGGACATTGGCACCTGCTTGACTACATCAGTTTCCGAACAAGGGTGTTCACATCACCTGTGTCATGATGTGAGCTAACAATTAGTAGACTAATTAGATGATGATCAGTCTATCTTCTTCGCCTAGTGGTATCAGAAATGATACCGGCAATGGTATCTGAATTTCCTGTGGCAGCATTTCTATGTCCATAGACTAAAGGACACTATAAAAAAGACCTACTCAATCTGTGCCTCACACAATCAACAAATAGGAACCATAATGTTCACAGTGCCTGGTCTGTCCTTAATAGCATAAAAAGAAACACCAGTAAGGACACTCTAGGGGTTGATTTTCTTATTAAGTAATTTAGTTGGGTTCCACTAGTGACGAGGTATCCATTGGCAACATTGCGTCAACCTCCACAAAATTTCTTTAGCTATTTGAGTTGGCATGTCCCATTATATATATATCCTGTTGAAAGACACCCATACTTCAAGAAAGTTCACCAACATTGTAACGTTGAACGTTATCTCTGGGTTGCTACCATTGAATGGGATTGTTTACGCAGTGTTGTGAGCCTTTAACCCTTTCAGGGAATGCCTTGTTCTGCGAAATGTCTTGGAAGACTGTATTACCATTTTCCATCTACGTGTTGGTCATCTGAATGTAATCAAACTCAAATCAGTCACTTACTGATATTTCTATCTCCTTCAATGGAGGCATCCATGTAAATAGATTACAGCTGGCTGCCAATCTTTTTCTGCTCTCCAAGTTGTCCTGCGCACTATTGTCCTCCAGTATTCCAATAATCTGAGGTGGGTTAGCATTTCATTTGCTGCTGATCTTATCAAGTACGGGTGACAGCTCATTTTAGTTGTATGAGAAGTTGCAAGCACCTTTTACAGATGCTTGTATCACTTCCAATGAATGCCAAGACACCTTAAGTGATGATCCTCCAGTTGTCCATTAGGTGGTCTCCAAGCTGTAACATAGGCTCATCCTGTCTCTCGGTTTTCCACCCTATTAGGGGATAAGTGACACAGGAAAACCATATTGCTGTGTGCTTGGTAGCGCAAAGAACCCCAACAAGAACTCAGTGGCGGGGAAGACAGTTCCAACAACCACACTGAGGCCCTATCAGAGTAGAGTCTTATTCTACTACAATAACCAGCATTCCACTAGCAATTGAAGTAAAACTCAGACAAATTCCTGCAGCTAATAAATCTGACAAGGAGTGCACAAAAGTCAGACAGCTCTGCTTTCAAGAGTTTTCCTCAGTACTGTTACAACTGGGAATGGCCGAACCTGTCTGATAATTAAACTAAAACACAAGCCCCAATCTGCCATGATGGGATTAGAGGTTCCCTTCTAATAATTACCCCAAAAGCAAAAGCTTGCCTTTCCCCTTGTAATCTGTAAAAAGAGTGGTTAAAAGAAAGAAAATCCCTGATCTCTACAAGTAACAAGAAACAATTTTATTTATTTAACCCAACAATGAACAAATTAACAAAATTATTAACAAACTGACAATTACATGTTAGACTACTAACTACTCCCTAACTGGTCTAAATTCTACTATGCTGTTTAAATAAAGACAAGTCCCAGTAACATAAACCCAATTAATAAGAAGCAATAAACTATAACTTAATCTCTCCAAATTCACACAGACTGTTCTGGAATATTCTGTCATCTCCCATCTCTTCACAAACACCTTTCTTCCATTAATTCTGCTGTAATTTCTCCTGTAAGGACCTTGAGCTAAAATACCATGGTACCTTTGATTAATTGGATGGGTTTTCCCTGAGAGCAGAATGATGCTAACTCTGGCGGGTGGCAGTTATCTGTCTTCGATTTTCCAAATGCCCTTGTCTTATGTACCCATAATGACATAATCAAATTCTTATAATATGATTGGTTTCAGCTTGTCAACACCATCAGATTTAAATTCAATTGGCTTTGAGTTAGAGTTTGGTTTTAAATTAATTGGCCAAATTCAAACTCGTCACAACATCAAAACAAGACTGTTGTTTTGCCTGCCACCTGTAAGGCTTTGTTGATATACTTGTTTCACTTTTTGAGGCTCCCTGTACGGGCAACGACAGCTGCTACTTACAGACTTTTTTTAAATTGCTAAGTACAAACAAAGCACAATTTAGCTTCCTGCCTTCCACCTCACAATTACTCTACCCAACTTTGTAACCATACAGTGTATAAAGTGTTTCAAATATAGTTCAGGAGACCAAAAAGTGGAAAGGTACCATGAGCAAAAACAACACTTGAAAATAATGGAAGACTTATTGGCGTACGACCATAGGACGGTCATACCAAAGTTGGTATGAAGAGAAATCTTTCAGAAACTTCACAGGAGACATCTAGTCATCAGGAATTTCTCAGCAAGAACAAAGCAGTATGATGACCAGGAATTTCCAAAGGCATAAAAGCAGAAGTTGCTGGAAAAGCTCAGCAGGTCTGGCAGCATATGTGAAGAAAAATCAGAGTTAACGTTTCGGGTCCGGTGACCCTTCCTCGGTTCTGAGGAAAGGTTACCGGACCCTAAACGTTAACTTTGATTTTTCTTCACAGATGCTACCAGACCTGCTGAGCTTTTCCAGCAACTTCTGTTTCTGTTCCTAATTTATATCATCCACAGTTCTTTTGGTTGTTATTTTCCAAAGGACATACAGGATTATATTAGGATTACATGCCTAATGTGTCATACACAACCAAATGCCTGCAGAATAAATTATCTAATCAAGATTTCTGGAAAGGCCAAGGAAAAGCCTAGCAAAGATTTATTTGGCTTTAGAGGGAAGATGTATTTAGCTCTCGTCGACTATTATTCAAGATGGATTGAAG